TATCTATCTATCTATCTATCTATCTATCTATCTATCTATCAATGGCTTAGAAAACCCTAGCAACTGCCTAACAATGATCATGAACACCCTAGCAACTGTCTACCAACCACCCAGAAGTAGTTGATTGAACCAATTGCTTCGAAAATTGATTAGATGTTTCGAAGCACTTGAAACAGGACATGCTGGCGACACCTGCTGGTGAAAACATTCTAAAAGCATCACGAACTCAGTGAATATACTGAATGTTTTTACACATTTTTTAAACTATATAGCCATCTGTGTTAAAGGGAAGTCATCCTTTGTTTAACCCACAGCATCTGGCCCTGAATTCTTTATTTTTTATAGTAAAATCTGTGGGATTTCATGTCACATGATTAACTGGGCAACCAGAAGGGGTTCATGGGTTCACTTTGAGATCAACACCCCCTAGTGGTGAATCATCAGAGCTTCGAAACAGTGTGACTAAGCTAAAATCACGTGACCTGGCCGGTTTGATACACGCACCGATTCGAAACAAAAGATTCACAAATGTTTCGAAGCTTAGTGAAGCAGTGTTTCGAACGTGCCCATCACTACCAAGAAGATCTTAGCAAACAAATGGCAAAACCCTAGCAACCACCATTAGCAACCATCCAGAACACCCTAGCAACTGCATAGCAGCACCCTATTAACCACCAAGCTGTGAATATGAACACTCTAACAATCACCTAGGACACCCTAGCAACCATGTAGCAACCATCCAGAACACCCTAATAGCCACCTAGCAGGCACCCTAGGAACTGCATAACAACACCCTAGCAATGATCATGAACACCCTAGCAACTGCATAGCAACCACCCAGAACACCCTATAAACCACATGGCTATACCCTAGAAACCACATAGCAATCACTCAGCACACCCTAGCAAATAGCAACACCATAGCAGTGACCCAGCAAAAACCTTATCAACCACCTGGAACACCCTAGCAACCGCATAGCAACACCCTAGCAATCACCTAGCAGTGAATATGAGCACCCTAACAATATTAACCACATAGCAACACCCTAGCAACCTCATAACAAAACACATTACCAAACGCATAGCAACATCTTAGCAATGATCCAGAACGCCATAGCAACAATGATCCAAACCACCGTAGCAACCACACAGTAACACTCAGAACATCCTGACAACTGCATTGCAACACCCTAGCAACTGCGTAGCAGCCACCAGAGCACCATAGTAACTTCCATAATCTGTGGAGAAGGGGGCAGGAGTAACAACTCTCTCCAATACTTTCAGTTTGGACTGCAGTACCCATTTCAACCACTAGCTGTCAATATTAAATAGTAAGGATAGTCCACCCAAAAAATTATATTCTGTCATTAATTGCTCACCCTCTTGTCTTTCCAAACCTGTAAGACCTTCGTTCATCTTCGGAGCACAAATTAAGATATTTTTGATGAAATCCGAGAGCTTTCTGACCCTGCATAGACAGCAATGCAACTGACACGTTCAAGGCCCAGAAAGTTAGTAAGGACATCATTAAAACATCATTAAAAACATTCAACCTTAATTTTATGAAGCAACGAGAATACTTTTTGTGCACGAAGAAAACAAAAATAATGACTTTATTCAACGATTTCTTCTTATATGGGCCAGTCTCCACCTCCATTTACAAGAGTACAATGCACACACATACGTGAATGTGAATGTACTAATGTGAATGTGCATTTAAGACTGGCACGGAAGAGAAAAATTGTTGAATAAAGTCGTTATTTTTGTTTTCTTTGCACACAAAAAGTTCTGTCTATGGAGGGTCAGAAAGCTCTCGGATTTCATCAAAAACATCTATTATATATATATTTTATATTCTATATATAGAATATATATATTCTATATATTTGTGTTCCACAGATGAACGAAGGTCTTGGGGGTTTGGAACGACATGAGGGTGAGTAATTAATGACACAATTTACCTTTTTGGGTGAACTAACCCTTTAACATACTGCACCATTAAAGGGGTCCTATTATGCTTTTTCACTTTTTCAACTTTAGTTAGTCTGTAATGTTGCTGTTTGAGCATAAAAAAAGATCTGCAAAGTTACAAAGCTCAACGTAACTTCAAAAGGAGATATTTTATTTAACAGAAATCACTTTTCAAAAACTACAACGAACGAATTGTTTGGACTACAACGCATATTTTCCGGGATTTGTGATATCACAAATATCGATGAATGGGACGAGACCTGGTTGAGCTGCACTAGAGAAGGCAATGAGTGTTATCACTATGACGGAGACATGCTAGCTTTCCCAAGGCAGACGAACTTAGAGTGGTTACAATCATCCGGGTTTAAATCGTGCTCAAATTTATTTGATTTTGACGCAGTATTTACACTGAAGCTCGCAGGCGGCTATGGTAAGGGGCGTGACATTTCCCGACCAGGCGCCGAGTGGTGCCAATCACAACACACACTGGCCCAGGTAACCAATCACAGCACATTTTGTGTTTGAGAAGGCGGGCCTTCATTTGATTCAGGAACTATTCGAGCCGTTCATGCCAGACTGGGGAGAGAGGTGTTGTAATAATGTAAAATATGTGAAAAATAATGTGTTTTTCGAACAACCTAGTATGAGAGCCTGTTCTAGTACACCCCCAAAACAAAATCAAGACTTTGTAAAAGAGCATAAAAGGACCCCTTTAAAATCTTCAAAATGTATTTCTGGCCAGGCTTTCTCAAGCCAACATCAAAGTTTGTCTTGCCAATTTTTTTTATCTAGTTGTGTGTTGTTCAATAGTGGATGTGTTTCTCTCTCATATGCAGGTGTATCGACATCCTGGAACTGTCTGAACGGCATGACTTGCTGAAGTTCCACTATCACACTCTCATGCTTTATTGTGCTGTGTGTGCATTGGGCAACAACCGTGTGGCCCATGCCCTCTGCAGCCACGTGGACGAATCACAGCTCTTCTACGCTATCGAGAACACCTACCTGCCCGGCCCTCTTCGCAGTGGCTACTACGACTTTCTCATCGGTATCCACCTGGAGTCAGCCAAACGCAACCGCTTGGGAACCAATCGTGAGTTTATTGTTCCCATGACAAAAGAGACGCTCAGCATCACGCTTTTCCCTGATGCAGAAGCGGCCCATGACCTGCCAGGTGTAGGTCTCACGACCTGCCTCAGACCCAAGCTACACTTCTCCCCCATCAACTTTGTGGGTACTGACCCAGATCTGTACACCATAAGCCCCATCATTCCTTTGCAGGTACGATGAGGATACCATGGAGTTCAAAACTGATTGTTGGTAGACAGATGATCTCTTTGTTAACATCTGCACTCTTTCGTCCCTTACAGGAACTGAAGACCAAGGCTCTAAGCATGCTTACTGAAGCTGTGTTCGATGGCAGCCAGGCCATGCGTGATCCTGTTGGGGGCAGCGTTGAGTTTCACTTCGTTCCTATTCTCAAACTAATCAGCACCCTCCTCATAATGGGCATCTTCAACGATGAAGATGTCAAGCACATTCTCAAGATGATCGATCCCAATGTGTTCGGAAAGAAAGAGGAGGCAGGGGAGACAGAGGAACCAGAAGAGGAAACTGCTCCCAAGGAGGAAGGAGAGGAGGTGAAAGAGAAAGAAGAAGCGGCTGAAGGAGAAGAGGAAGCCGTGGATGAGGGAGTTGGGGAGGAGGAGGAGGAGGATGAGGAGCTGAAAGCTCTGAAGAAGGAGATGGGACAGGAAGGAGAAGAGGTTGAGAAGGCAGTAGAGGAGGAGGAGGGAGAGAAGGTGGATGGAGAAAAAGCCGGGGAGGAAAAGGAGGCAGAAGAAGTAGGCGAGGAGGCCAAAGAGGAGGAAGAGGAGGCTCCAGAGGAGGGACTACTTCAAATGAAGCTGCCGGAGTCTGTCAAACTGCAGGCAAGTATCTATCTTTCTATCTATCTATCTATCTATCTATCTATCTATCTATCTATCTATCTATCTAAAGTACTTATTTGTCTTTCCCTCCATCTCTCTCTTTGTTTATCTTTTTGTCTGCATATTTTTATATGCCTAGAATATAAATTTCATATTATTGTATATACTGTATATGATGTATATTTTCTCTCGTTTGTATGTTTTATTAATACTGCTTCTGTGTGTTTCTCCCTGTCTTTCAGATGTGTACCCTTCTACAGTATTTCTGTGACTGTGAGCTCAGACACAGAGTTGAGGCAATTTTGGCATTCTCTGATCAATTTGTACAGCAGATCCAGTCAAACCAGCGTGAACGATACAATGACCTAATGAGAGCATTTACAATGTCTGCTGCAGAGACCGCTCGCAGGACCAGAGAGTTTCGCTCTCCTCCACTGGAACAGGTATAATACACAACTCTTCATTTTAAACCCACTTATGATTTTAATTGCTTTAATTGCTTTTCACGGTGACTAATCACTGATTGTGTGCCTATATGTAGGTTTTCCTGTTGACTAACTTCAAGCACAGTCCAGAAGAAGAGGATTGCCCTGTGCCAGAGGAAGTGCGGGAATCCCTCCAGAATTTCCACAATGAGCTGCTGAATCACTGTGGTCAGTGTTCAAAATATCTCACAAAAATCACTGTATTGCCACATTAAAACAACTAAACACCAAGTGGCTGCTGTTGCAAAATCACCTTGTGATTTAAAGTGACGTGACGTGACATGTGGCCAAGTATGGTGACCCATACTCGGAATTAGTGCTCTGCATTTACCCATCCAAAGTGCACACACACAGCAGTGAACACACACACACACACACCATGAACACACACCCGGAGCAGTGGGCAGCCATTTATGCTGTGGCACCCGGGGAGCAGTTGAGGGTTCGGTGCCTTGCTCAAGGGCACCTCAGTCATGGTATTGAAGGTGGAAGAGAGTGCTGTACATTCACTCCCCCCACCTACAATCCCTGCCGGTACGAGACTCGAACCCACAACCTTTGGGGTATGAGTCCGACTCACTAACCATTAGGCCACGACTTCCCCCGAAATTTGCAAAATCACCTTGTGATTAAATTCTCTACAACCAATTAAGTTTCTGTTTTTTCTTTTAAGGATTCAAACTAAAAATGTTTTGATTTTTGTACCTCAGGTGTCCACATAGAAGAAGAAGCAGAGGAGGAAGAGGTAGAGGCATCTCTGAGAGGGAGACTGGTCAGTTTAGTGGAGAAGATCAAGACCTTTAGGAAGAAAAAGGAGGAAGAGGAGCCAGAACCAGAGGAAGAGCCCAAACCTAGTGAGTAAATGAAGTACAACATCTTGAGAAGGTTGTTCAGATTGACCTCATCAAATGAATGCAATTATAGATCAATATTTTTGCTTTTAGTTCAAAATTGTTATTATTTTTAGCATTAGTCTAACATTTCCAGAACATTTTATGTCTCAGGTACTTTACAGGAACTGATATCCCACACAATGATCCACTGGGCACAGGAGTCCTTTATTCAGAACCCTGAGCTGGTGCGGCTCATGTTCAGTCTTCTTCATCGGCAGTATGACGCTCTGGGAGAGTTGATCCGCGCCCTGCCAAAGGCCTATGCCATCCACGCTGTGTCCATACAGGACACAATGGACCTGCTGGAGTGCCTGGGACAGATCCGTTCCCTTCTCATCGTCCAGATGGGCCCGGAAGAGGAGAGGCTTATGATTCAGAGCATTGGGTGGGTACTTCAAAAACCTCAATATATATCCTTTTTTTAAATCCTCTCATGCACACCAAGGCTGTGTTTAATTGATACAAATATGGTAAAAACAGTAATACTGTGAAATATTATTTTTTTTTAAACATTTCTATTTGAATATATTTTATAATGTAGTTTATTCTTGTGAGAGCAAAGCTGAATTTTCTTGCAGCCATTACTTCAGTCTTCAGTGTCACATGATCTTTCTGAAATTCTTCTAATACGTGACCCTGGACCACAAAAACAGTCATAGGTAGCAGGGGTATATTTGTAGCAATAGCCAACAATTAATTGAATGGGTCAAAATGATCAATTATTCTTTTATGCCAAAAATCTTTAGCATATTAAATAAAGATCATGTTCCATGAAGATGTTTTGTAAATTTCCTTTTTTGATTAGTAATATGCATAGCTAAGAACTTCATTTGGACAACTTTTAAAGGCGATTTAAAAGTTTAGATTTTTTTGCACCCTCAGATTCCAGATTTTCAAATAGTTGTATCTCAGCCAAATGTTGTCCTATCTTAACAAACCATGCATCAATGGAAAGCTGATATATTTATATATGTATAAATCTCCATTTCACAAAAATTGACCCTTATGACTGGTTTTGTGGTCCAGGATCACATATGATGATTTAGTGCACAAGTAATATTCCTTATAATTATCGATTTCAATCAAACCACTTAATATTTTAGTGAAAACTGTGATGTATTTTTTCAGGATTTGTTAATAAATAGAAGGTTTGAAAGAATATCTAACATTAAATTTAACATTGTATTTGCTGAATAAAAGTATTGATTTCTTTAAAAAAAAAAGTTTCTAGTAGTGCGGTAGTGTACATTGTTTGTTCTCATTCCCTGAACTTCTCCAGAGTCATTATGTTTTTACTGGACATCATATCTTTTGTATCATATGTAGTATTTTAAATGCATATTGTCTCTTGTCTCATAGGAACATCATGAACAACAAGTTGTTCTACCAGCACCCTAACCTGATGCGAGCTCTGGGCATGCATGAGACGGTCATGGAGGTTATGGTCAATGTACTGGGAGGTGGAGGAGACTCTAAGGTACTTTCCTGTTTATATATATATATATATATATATATATATACTGAATGTTTAATACTGTTTTTCTTGGACAAGGATCCAACTCTGTCATTGAAACTGATGTAAATGGACACAAACTTTTTTCTGTCTATAGGAAATACGATTCCCACAAATGGTTACCAGTTGCTGTCGCTTCCTGTGCTACTTCTGCAGGATCAGCCGTCAGAACCAGCGTTCCATGTTTGACCACCTCTCATACCTGCTGCAGAACAGTGGCATTGGACTCGGTTGGTGGCTTTGTAAAACTTAGCTGACACATTTGTATTATTGTTAGGCCTGTTCACACCAATGATAACTATAACAATAACTCTAATTCTATGAGAATAGGGAAGTCCACAGCACAGCTATAACAATATAACAACACTGAGGAAAGATTTCATTGAAATCACTTTTTTTGAGAATGATTTTTTCCAGCTGATGAATGGTAAAAACATTGACAGCCAATTGAAATCCACCAGAGTTCAAAAAGCTTGCACATTTAAATCGGTAGATGACATAACTGCAGTGTGCACTTATAATAAATAGAATTTCATTGTGTGTTGATGTGGATGTTGACATGGTTATCATTGTAGTTATCGTTCTTGGTAACACTTTACAATAAGAATCAATTTATTAACATTAGTTAACATTAAATAAGACTAATGTTTTAGAAGAATTTATCATTGTTAGCATTTACTAATACATTTTTAGAATCAAAGTATCTGTTGACATTGGATAATTCAATTAACATGAGTAAACAAAGAACAAATGCATTTTTATTAACTAACATTGACAAAGATGAATAAATGTTGTAAAATATATTGCTCATTGTTAGTTTATGTTCGCTAATGTTTTACAAATGAGACCTTATTGTAAAGTGTTACAGAGTTTGGTAAAGAATTACTTAATGCATCTAGGTCCTTAAAAAAATGTAAATAATATTAAAATAATACAATTTAGGACCATAATATTACTCTCTTTTCTTTTCTTTTAAATATATATATTTTTTAATTTATTTGTTGCTTTTTAGGAATGCGTGGATCTACTCCTTTGGATGTTGCTGCTGCATCTTGCATTGACAACAATGAGCTGGCACTGGCTCTGCAAGAGCAAGATTATCGTTCTTGGTAACACTTTACAATAAGAATCAATTTATTAACATTAGTTAACATTAAATAAGACTAATGTTTTAGAAGAATTTATCATTGTTAGCATTTACTAATACATTTTTAGAATCAAAGTATCTGTTGACATTGGATAATTCAATTAACATGAGTAAACAAAGAACAAATGCATTTTTATTAACTAACATTGACAAAGATTAATAAATGTTGTAAAATATATTGCTCATTGTTAGTTTATGTTCGCTAATGTTTTACAAATGAGACCTTATTGTAAAGTGTTACAGAGTTTGGTAAAGAATTACTTAATGCATCTAGGTCCTTACATTTTTTTTAATAATATTAAAATAATACAATTTAGGACCATAATATTACTCTCTTTTCTTTTCTTTTAAATATATATATATTTTAATTTATTTGTTGCTTTTTAGGAATGCGTGGATCTACTCCTTTGGATGTTGCTGCTGCATCTTGCATTGACAACAATGAGCTGGCACTGGCTCTGCAAGAGCAAGACCTTGAGATGGTAATGCTCTGAACAAACTGTATTTGGTAGCTAATTATTTTATGGGACAGTGCGATTAAAAAACAAATCTCATGTTTACTGTGCTACTCAGGTGGTGACGTATCTGGCTGGATGCGGCCTTCGAATGTGCCCCATGCTTCTGTCTAAAGGCTACCCTGACATCGGATGGAATCCAGGTGGAGGAGAGAGATATCTGGACTTCCTACGTTTTGCTGTGTTTGTAAATGGTGAGCATATTAAATCGAATTTTGTTTCTAACTCCTCTGTTTGAAGGCGTTCATTATTAAACTTTGTGTTTGTGTCTCCCCCTGCAGGTGAGAGCGTAGAGGAGAACGCCAACGTGGTTGTTCGTCTGTTGATTCGTCGGCCTGAGTGCTTCGGCCCCGCACTGAGAGGAGAGGGTGGTGCAGGTCTGTTAGCTGCCATCGAAGAGGCCATTAAGATCTCTGAGGACCCTGCCAGAGATGGGCCAACGACTAAAAAGGACAGACGTTTCATGTAATGAATGCTTGAATTTTCCTTTTCATTTAAACAATTTATCATTGATATAGTTTTATCTATATACTCCATTTTTTGTCCCTTGTGATTGGTTCACAGGTTTGGAGGGGAGGAGCAACATGAAGAGAACAGAGTACATCTTGGAAATGCTATCATGTCATTTTACTCTGCTCTTATTGACTTGCTGGGTCGCTGTGCTCCTGAGATGCATGTAAGTAAAACAACTTGAATCATTTACCTGTGGAGTCTATGACAAAGGTAATGTTTGAAAGAAGCCTCTTATGCTCCCCAAGGCTGCATTTATTTTATCGAAATATAGTAAAATAGTAATATTGTGAAATAATATTTGAATTTAAAATAAGTTTATTTCTATTCTATGATGTTTTTTTCTATGAATGGTAGTGTATAAAATGAAGGTCATATTTTTTTACAGATTTCATATGGACTTCAATTGTAATCCTGTTCTTTACCCACAGTTGATCCAAGCAGGTAAAGGTGAAGCTTTGAGAATCAGAGCTATCTTGAGGTCTCTCGTACCCATTGAAGACCTGGTGGGAGTCATTAGCCTTCCAGTTCAGATCCCCACCTTTGGCAAAGGTACACAAAATGGTCACCATGTGACCATTTCTTATTTTAATCTTTGTTTTTCTGTCTGTTTTACTTTTTACTTTGAAATATAAACGGGCTTCCATGCAACTTCTGTATACTCAACTCTTCTATTTTTTTCCTGTGCTACTTTTCATAGATGATCAGATTGTTGAGCCAAAAATGTCAGCGAGTTTCGTGCCAGACCACAAAGCCTCCATGGTGCTTTTCTTGGACAGAGTGTATGGCATTGATAACCAGGACTTCCTTTTGCATGTGCTAGAGGTGGGCTTCCTGCCCGATATGAGAGCCTCAGCCTCCCTAGATACGGTGAGCTATATATAATATAATATAATATAATATAATATAATATAATAAACGATCACTGATCTTAATTGTGTTCCTCCAGGTGGCATTCAGCACCACAGAGATGGCACTGGCTCTAAACCGTTACCTGTGCTCAGCTGTGCTTCCTCTGCTCACAAAGTGTGCCCCACTGTTCGCTGGCACAGACCACCGAGCCATCATGATCGACTCAATGCTGCACACCATCTACAGACTGTCCCGTGGCCGTGCCCTTACCAAGGCCCAGAGGGACGTCATAGAGGACTGCCTTATGTCTCTTGTCAAGTCAGTTCAATCTGCAACATCTGCACTCAAATGTAGAAATGCCAACTTAAAATTGTATAGCTAATAAAGTAATGTTTGTGTGTTTTAGGTATTTGCGGCCATCTATGTTGCAGCATCTGTTGAGAAGGCTGGTGTTTGATGTGCCAATCTTAAACGAGTATGCCAAGATGCCCCTCAAGGTATGCAAGTATAGTTCGTTTAATTAGTTGCATTGATATTTGTTTTTGTTTCTTGTGCTCATATTTTGTGCTTTAATTTCATTTAGTTGTTGACCAATCACTATGAGCGCTGCTGGAAGTATTATTGCCTGCCAAATGGATGGGCGAACTTTGGAGTCACATCAGAGGAAGAGCTGCATCTCTCTCGCAAACTCTTCTGGGGCATCTTTGAGTCCCTCGCACACAAGGTTTGACAAACATGGATAGTCTCAACTGACAAGTTCGAACTGAAATGCCTGTGTACACTTACATGCCATCTCATCTCTGTAGAAATTTGATGCAGAGCTGTTTAAGATCGCCATGCTCTGCATCTGTGCCATTGCGGGTGCCATCCCTCCAGACTATGTGGATGCTAGCTATTCATCTATGACTGAGAAGAAAGCATCTGTCGACGCTGAGGGAAACTTTGACCCCAAACCAGTGGAGACAACAAAGTGAGAAAATGATCAGCTAGTTCAATTACAGTATTCATTTAGCATCTTTGCATTTATATATGAGCATCGTGTATATTTCAGGTATCTGAATTAATGTATTTATACAGATTTATGGTAACATTTTAGTTTAGGGACCAATTCTCACTATTAACCAGTTGCTTATTAGCATGCGTATCACTAGCATATTGGCTGTTTATTAGTACTTATAAAGCAAATATTAATGCCTTATTCTGCATAACAATTTTAATAATCCTACCCCATACCAAAATTTAACAACTACCTTACTAACTATTAATGAGCTGCAAATTAGGAGTTTATTGAGGCAAAAGTTGTAGTTAAATAGTTAACAATGAAAACTGGTAACCAACAACAGTAATTATTATTAAGTACTTTTAAAAATATTATTTGTGTATTATAATTTTTAAATGTTTATGGCCTGGTTTCACAGACAGGGCTTAGACTAAGCCAGGATTAGGCCATAGTTCAATTAGGACATTTAAGTAATTTTTTATAAATGTGCCTTAGAAAAAAACATTACTGGTGTGCCTCTTGAGACAAAACAAAGGCACTGATATGTTTTAAGATCAGTCGGTGCAAGTTTCTTTCAGTTTAAACCGCTCAGACTTACATTTTAGTCTGGAACTAGGCTTAAGCCTTGTCTGTGAAACAAGGGGTTTATGTTATATAGTTGTATAGTCACATTGAATAGGGGTAAAAAAAATCCATCCATAGCTGATCACATTTAAACTCATTGACATTAACAGAAATAATTGTTTTGAGGGAGTCAAAAAAAGAAGAAAAGAAAAATATTTGTATTCGAATGAACACCAGCAACTGAACGATTATGTTTCCTTTTTGCAGCACCATAATTCCTGAGAGACTCGATACCTTCATTAACAAATATGCTGAGCACACGCATGATAAATGGGCCTTTGAGAAGGTTAGTATCAGCATTCATGCTAATTTGTGAAAGCCAAAAGCATTGTGGGACTGAGAACAGCCTTTGCAACCTTTGGCTTCCATCTTCCAGATCCAAAACAACTGGACATATGGTGAGGTTCTAGATGAGAACAGCAAAACTCACCCCATGCTGCGCCCATACAAGACTTTCTCAGAGAAGGTCTGAATGGATGTTCTTTGAATCTTCTTTGTCAGTTGGTCGTTACAGTTGGTTTTCCAGAAACAAGGTCAACTTCTCTTTTGAATTCTCTCTCTAGGATAAAGAGATCTATCGCTGGCCCATTAAAGAGTCCATCAAGGCCATGCTGGCATGGGAATGGACTCTGGAGAAAGCCAGAGATGGAGAAACTGAGAAAACTGAAGTGAAGGCCACCAGGAAGATCTCCCAGACTGCTCAGGTAATAGAGAGATGAAACAAAGAAGATGGAAATGGCATGTTTTATGAACCCATTATCCATACCTATATATCCATCTCCTGCAGGCCACCTATGATCCCAGCCAGGGATACTCTCCCCAGCCAGTGGAACTGACAGGCATGGCCTTGTCCAGAGAGCTACAGGTATATTATTAATATTCATTCAGTATAAGACTATAACTTAGGTATTCAGAAACCCTTGTGATTGATTCACTTCTCATGTTTCCCTTTGTTCAGTCCATGGCAGAGCAGCTTGCTGAGAATTACCATAACACTTGGGGCCGCAAGAAAAAGATAGAGCTGCAAGCCAAGGGTATAATTGTTTATTTTATTCAGCGTATCATGTTTACTGCACAAAATAATGTTCAGATGTATTGTTCATGAAATTAACCCATGGGCTGTCTCCTAGTTTTTTGTGTTTTTTGTGTTAATAGGTGGTGGCACCCATCCTTTGTTGGTACCATATGATACATTGACGGCCAAAGAGAAGACAAGAGACAGAGAGAAAGCCCAAGACCTGCTCAAATTCCTTCAGTTAAATGGATACGCTGTCACCAGGTACACAACTGATGCTGTACAACAAGAATGTTATAGAGTCTAAAATTACCATTTCTTGTTGCTGTTATTTGGCAGTAGTTGAGGAATGCTGAGAGCCTGTGAACAAAGACTTATTTTACACACAAATTTTGTAGACTGTACTTCCTAACATGGCTCAAATTCTTCTTCTTAGGTCAGGGGTCAGCAACCTTTTGTGCCATAATTGTATAAATATAGGATTTATACATGTAATACATAACCATTTTTAAAAGTTTATGGTATGTGTGTATAAATGTTGTAGTTCGCACATCACCGTCATTGCGATTTGTGTGTTGAATATAAAGAACTCGGTTTACTGACTTGAAAATCTCCAACATTTATTGTGTTTTTGTGTGTGTGTGGGGGGGGGGTATATGTATATGCATACTTGCACAAGTATATGCATACTTGTGTTTGTATTTATATATAAATAATAAATATACACAGTATACACACATATGAAGAGTGAAAAATTTAAGGGGGTCTGAATACTTTCTGTACCCACTGTATATATATAGTATATATACACTGAAATAATGACATTGAAATCATACATTATTTTTTTTAAAGCATGTTGAATTGGCTTGTAATGAGGTGATCTTAATGTGCTTTGTCCTTATTTTGTTTTTCTTCTCCAGAGGTTTGAAGGACATGGAACAGGAGATTTCCTCCATTGAGAAGCGTTTCGCTTATGGGTTCCTGCAGAAGCTGTTGAAGTGGATGGAGATTGCCCAGGAGTTTATTGCACATCTTGGTATACATTCATAGATCCATAGATACATTTCTTAGATCCAAAGAACTGTAGATGTATTTTTTAATGTTACTTGTGTATTTGTTACTCCAGAGGCTGTTGTGAGCAGTGGAAGAGTCGAGAAATCCCCTCACGAACAGGAGATTAAATTCTTTGCCAAGGTGAGACACCTTTGACCGGAATATGAGTGCATGCTGAATAAAACAGCTCGGAGGGAATTAGTTGGAAGAGATACAGACTTTCCATCCTACGGATCACAGCCTCTTAAACTTTGCTCTTCCTCTTTGTATTCTCTTCATGTAGATTCTACTTCCACTGGTAAACCAGTACTTTAAGAATCACTGCCTGTATTTTCTGTCCACACCTGCTAAAGTCCTGGGCAGTGGTGGTCATGCCTCTAACAAAGAGAAGGAGATGATTGCTAGGTAACTAATTCTACAGAGCTCCATTTTCTGTGGTAACCAAGTCAGATTTGATGTACTTTAAAGATTTCATTTGATTATGTGAATGTTTACAGAAATTATGTTAGTTTTGATGTTGCGACCTGTCACATACTCTCTGCTCCTCACACTTCTTCTTGCCTGTGGTTTTCTCTCTGCCCCTTCCCGGAGTATTTTCCCATGGGTTCCCTCATCCTTTTTTTTTTTTTACATTTATCTTTTACGGATCACATTGTTTTGCTCTTACTTTTCCATCATCTTAACCTCACCCTTTTATTCCCTTTTATGCCATTTCATCTTTCCCAACCCTCCATCCCTCTATTTTTCTTCTTTTTCTATCTATGTATTTTCTATCTCAGTATCTTCTGTAAGTTGGCCGGTCTGGTGAGACACAGGGTTTCCCTCTTTGGTAAGAATCCTGCATGATGACCTGATTGCACATTTCATTTTTTCACCGCACATCCCCTTTTTCTTTAATGTTTTACATCATCAGTACATTAATTCCTAATAGTTCCACTTATTTGCTCTGTGTTCTCTTTGAAGAATCCTGCATGATGACCTGATTGCACATTTCATTTTTTCACCGCACATCCCCTTTTTCTTTAATGTTTTACATCATCAGTACATTCATTCCTAATAGTTCCACTTATTTGCTCTGTGTTCTCTTTGGGTTTTCTTTCTTTCTTTCTTTCTTTCTTTCTTTTCTTATTTGAAATGTATTTTTCTTTAATTAAAGCAAAATAACTATTAAAATGTCATAAATAAGTAGTATTATTTAATTTCATCAATTTAATTTAAGTAAAATAACAGTATTGCAATTGTTAAGCATCTTATTTTATTTTATTAAAAATAGTGAAAATGGTGTGAATAAGTGTTACTATTTAATTTAATTCAAATAACAATGAAAATGGCATAAATAAGTAGAATTATTTAATTTAATTTAAGTAAAAAAATAATGAAAAAAGCATAAATATGTGGTATTTAATTTCTTTCTTTCTTTCTTTCTTTCTTTCTATCTTTCTTTCTTTCTTTATTTATTTCATTTTCTCTGGGTGGTTGTCTAATGATTTGCTGTGCTTTGCTTTCGTTGGTGCATTATTTGCAGTGTTGGCTCAGTATTCCTATAGTAAGGATCATTATCATAGGAGTACTGTACTTCTGAAGAATATCTGCTCTGGCTTAATTCTACCACTTCATGCTATATCTGTGTCATATATTGTAGCTTAGTATCCTCAGTCCACATGTTGTGGGTGAAAATAAAAGGCCTGTGTCATGCTCTGAATGTTTGTGTGTGCAGGCACTGATGCCTCAGCAGTGGTCAACTGTCTCCATATTCTTTCCCGCTCACTGGATGCCAGGTATGTTTGTTGACCACATGATTCTCTGTGTTTTACTGATGTTTACATCCTTAAAGGGATAGTTCACCCAAAAAAGATAATTAGCCCATTATTTACTCACTCTCTAGCCATCCTAGGCATATATGACTTCCTTCTTTCAGATGAATCTAATCAGAGTAATATTAAAAATTGTCTTTGATCTTTCAAGCTGTTTAATGGCATTCAGGGGGTGTTGCAGTTCATCAGTCCAAAAGAAGTGAAATAAAGCGCATCCTTCTGTAATAAAAAGTGCCTCACACGGCTCCGGGGGGTGAACAAAGGCCTCCTGTAGCGAATTGATGTGGTTTTGTAAGCAAAATATTCATATTCAAACATAATAATCACTTTAATCTAGCTAGCGCCAACAGTTGTAGACGGAATAAGCTCCGGGCGGATGACGTAAGATGTTGGCGTTGCGCATGCGCCGGTGAGTCTCGTGAAAACCAACGCTTGTTTACAGGAGCAAAGGAAGCAAAGTTTCCTTACTTTAGCAAAGGAAAACCAGTCTCCTCGTAGCTTATATCGAAATCCTCTGACATTCTTCTTTACAAATCCTAATTTTTTACTTCTAATTCGTAACCGTTGTTTTGTTTTGATCTCTCCCCTGCACTTCCGTGTTCGTCACTTCTGAGCGGCGCATTCACAATGCCGACGTCCTACGTCATTCCGTGTACAACAGTGAGCGCAAGCTAGATTAAACTGATTATTACATTTTAAATATGATTATTTTTCTAACAAAAACGCATCGATTCGCTACAGGAGGCCTTTGTTCACCCCGCGCAACCGTGTGAGGCACTTTTTTTATTATGGATGGATGCACTTTATTTCACTTCTTTTGGACTGATGAACTGCAACACCCACTGACTGCCATTAAACAGCTTGGATGATCAAATACAATTTTTAATATAACTCCGACTGGATTAGTCTGAAAGAAGAGTCATATACACCTAGGATGCCTTGAGGGTAAGTAAGTCATGGGCTAATATTCATTTTTGGGTGAACTAACCCTTTAATTTATGTTTATGAATTACATTTCATGCTTACTATTCTTTTATTTGTCTTTTGTCTTTGATTTTGTTTTCTCTTCCAGAACTGTGATGAAATCTGGGCCTGAGATTGTGAAGGCTGGTCTGCGCTCTTTCTTTGAGAGTGCTGCCGATGATATTGAGAAGATGGTTGAGAACCTTAAACTGGGGAAAGTGTCTACCAAAAACCAGGTCAGATGTAAATATAGCCCTGTTCTCCGAGATGTCCCTTTGCTCTTTATCAAAGTTGTTCAATTGAGCCTCTTTCCTTGCCTCTCACTGTCTCTAACAGGTGAAAGGTGTATCTCAGAACATTAGCTACACCACCACTGCTCTTCTGCCAGTGCTCACCTCTCTGTTCGACCACATCGCCCAGCACCAGTTTGGAGATGATGTCATGTGTGAGTTATTTTCATAGGTTTCAACAGTCTTTTAACTTAACTAAATTCAGCTTAAATAGCAGAGTACATTTACTTAGTTTATACATAGATGAATTAATTACAGTAATAATTAACATGTGAGAGGAATTAAATTGAAAAGGCTGTGCTTATTTGACTCTTTCTACCAATTCAGTTTCAGTTTAGTGTGCTTCACTGACGTAAAAAAAAAGCAGTAAAATAGCAAAAGTGAAAATGGCATAAGTAATTTAAATGCAATTTAATTTGAATAAAGTACAATAATAAATGGTGTAAATCAGTAATATTATCTAATTTAATTTTACATTTAGTCATTTAGCAGACGCTTTTGTCCAAAGCGACTTCCAAATGAGGACAATGGAAGCAATCAAAATCAACAAAAGAGCAATGATATGCAAGTGCTATAACAAGTCTCATTTAGCCTAACACAGTACACATAGCAAGGTTTTTTTATTATATAATAAATAAATAAAAAGAAAACAGATAGAATAGAAAAAGAATAGAGCAAGCTAGTGTTGGAAGCCTTTTTTTGCTTTTTGTTAATTGTATAATAAATAAAAAGAATAAAAAGAAAAAGCTAGTGTTAGTTTTTTTTTAAGAAAAACAAGCAAATGAGTTAGTAAATGAATAGAGTACAAGTCTAAAAGTTTTTTAATGAATAGAATTATAATAGATTAATGATTAATTAATAGATTTTTAAATAATGAATGCTGTAAATTAATAGTATAATCATATTTAATGTAATTTAATTTAATACAATTTAATTCAGTTAAAATAAGTATAAATCGTGTAAATAAGTAGGTATTGAATAAAATTTTCTTTAGCGTAATTAAATGTAATATATTGATATATATAGTTATATTTAATATTATAAATAAATGTAATATTATAAATGAAATATATTACATTTTTTATTATTTTATTCAAATAAAGTAAAATAACAGTAGTGTAAATGGCATAAATAAGTAGTATTACCTAATTATTTAATTAATGATTTATTAATTTAATTTAATTTAATTTCCAGAAACTCGGCAACAAAATACTTAAGGTATTTTGGTATAAGGTAATCGAAAGTTAAAACATAACCCAATTTGAAAAAATCTGCAAATAATTGTCATATTGTAATTGTTATATCTGGTAGATCAGTCACTGTCCCTCATATTGTGTATCTCTCCCTTTATCACTTTAGTGGATGACTTGCAGATATCCTGTTACCGTATCATGTGCAGTATCTATTCCCTGGGCACTGTAAAGACCCCTCATGCTGAGAAGTAAGAAGCAGCTTTGCATATACGTGTTTTTATCTATATGAGCCATTTTTACCGAATGTGTTATGTTAATGAACGTTTTTGTTGTGATATCACAGCCAAAGACCAGCTCTAGGAGAATGTCTGGCTCATCTGGCTGCTGCCATGCCTGTTGCATTTCTGGAGCCTCTCCTCAACGAGTTCAACACATACTCAGTGTACACTACCAAAACCCCACGAGAGAGAACAAGTCAGTAGCTCACTCTGAATGTATTCCATCTATACAGTAGGTGTAATGATCAACTCGCGCTTCCTTAACTGCCTTATCATCCATTTCTTAGTCCTGGGTCTGCCCAGTCAAGTGCAGGAACTGTGTCTGGACATCCCTGAGCTGGACCTGTTGATGAAAGAGATCGGGCATCTGGCAGAGTCTGGGGCCCGTTACACAGAGATGCCCCACGTGATTGAGATCACCCTGCCCATGCTGTGCAACTATCTGCCCCGCTGGTGGGAGAGAGGACCAGAGAACTTCCCAGAGCAGGAAGACCTTCTGTGCACGGATGTCACCTCGGAACAACTCAATCAGCTCCTGGGTAGCATCATGAAGATTGTCGTCAATAATCTGGGCATTGATGAAGCTTCCTGGATGAAGAGATTGGCAGGTGAGTGGAAACTAAACATGGAGTCTTCAAAAAATGGCAGTCAATACTAGGAATTTACTTATGGAGTTCCTCTTGATATTCCTCCGCAGTGTTTGCTCAGCCCATTGTGAGCAGGGCAAAGCCTGAGATGCTCAAGTCCCACTTCATCCCCACCATGGAGAAGCTGAAGAAACGTTGTGGAAAGGTGGTGGCCGAGGAGGATCAGCTGCGTATGGAGGGGAAGGGAGAGGTGGACAGTGAGCAGGGAACCATTCGTGATGAGTTTGCTGTGCTCTGCAGGGATCTGTATGCTCTTTACCCGCTACTCATCCGATACGTGGACAATAACAGGTATCTCTCATCCGCAGGAAGATTTTATGGTCCAAGTACTATTTCAAGTATTATTTTTGTTACGAGATTACCAACCGAAGTAACTTCAAATACTTTCAAACCTTTGCAGTAGTAAAGGCCCATTCATACCAATAACAATAACTATATTAGCGTCCACATCAATAGTGTCCAGGTACCGTTTTAGGCTTTATTTTTGTTACAAGAACACCAACAAATGTACATTTAGACACTTTGAAGTCTTTGCAGAGTAAAGGCCTTTCACACCAAGAACAATAACTGTATTAGCGTCCAAACCAAAAGACGATAACATTGTTTATTATAAGCGCATGCTACAGTTATGTAGTCTGCTGCTTGAAATACATAAAGGGATAGTTCACACAAAATAAAAATGTTCTGTTGATTTACTCACAAGGAAGGCAATCCAAGGAAAATCCAAGATGTAGGTGATTTATTTTTCTTTAATAGAACAGAAGATTTAGCTGAAACCAAGGTCCTTGGTATGATGGCCCAGTAGTGCACAACGCACTGAAATCTCCACAACACAACAAAATTGCCACAACACACCGCATAAGACAAATTTTGTTGTGTTATGCTAATTTCGCTGTGTTCTGGCTTGTTTCCGTTGCGTTGTGCGACCCACATGAAAAAATACTATAGTAATTTATAGTAAATACTATAGTGTTTTTGAACCATACTATAGTAAAGTACTTGAATTAATTTGTTGTGGTAATTCTATAGTTGCTGTGGTAATATAACATATGTAGTAATATAAACAAATTACTTTACCCAATACTGTACTAAGTATTGTACTTTCTACAACTATAGGGTATATTATACTACAGTTTACTGTAGTAAAAACTAAAGTATACTACAGTATTTATTACAGTTTATCAGTTCACTATAGTTAATACTAAAGTATGATGTAGCATTCATTAACAAAGTGTTGTAAATACTATAATATATACAGAATAATACACTTGACTATAGTATGGTTAGAAAATACTATAGTATTTACTATAAATTACTATAATATTTTTTCATGTGGGGAGTTTTGCTGTGTTGTGGTTTGTTTGCTCCGTGTTGCAAATTGTTTCCATTGTGTGGGGGCTTGTTTTCATTGTGTTGTGTGAATTTCATTGCGTTTTGGCTTGTTTCCATTGGGTTGTGCTAATTTTGTTGTGTTGCAGCTTGTTTCCGTTGTGTTTAGCTAATTTCATTGTGTTGCGGCTTGTTTACGTTGTGTTTAGCTAATTCATTGTGTTGTGGCTTGTTTCTGCTGTGTTGCGCCTTGTTTCCATTGTGTTGCGGCTTGTTTACGTTGTGTTTAGCTAATTCATTGTGTTGTGGCTTGTTTCTGCTGTGTTGCGCCTTGTTTCCATTGTGTTGTGGCTTGTTTCCATTGTGTTGTGCTAATTTCATTGTTTTGCGGCTTGTTTCCGTTGTGTTGTGCTAATTTAATTGTTTTGCGGCTTGTTTACGTTGTGTTTTGCTAATTTCATTGTGTTGCGACTTGTTTATGTTGTGTTTTGCTAATGTCATTGTGTTGCGGCTTGTTTACATTGTGTTTTGTTAATTCATTGTGTTGCCGCTTGTTTCTGCTGTCTTGCGCCTTGTTTCCGTTGTGTCGCCGGCTTGTTTCCGTTGTGTTGTGGAGACTTTGTTGTGTTGTGCACTACTGGGCCACCGTACCTTGGTGATTCATAAAAAGCAAGTCAACGGCTTACAAAGAAACAAGCAAAACTTGATTAATATCTGTGGCTCCTGACAATATACCGAGGTTTTATGAAGCCAAACGATCATTATTTACAACATTATTGGGAACAAAATTATTCTTAAAGTGATTAAAACAATATTGTTGCTCTGTAGCTGTGGTGTGGACTTCCCTATTCTCATAGAATTAGATCTTTTATTAAAACTTTATGGTTATTTGTTATAGTTATCATCCTTAGTGTGAATGAAACTGTCATTCTGGAGATTTGGTTCTTTCTGTCGTTTAAAGGGCGAGGTGGTTGACCTGTCCTGACCCTGATGCTGAGGACCTCTTCAGGATGGTTGGAGAAGTCTTTATCTTCTGGTCCAAATCTCACGTAAGTCTGTTTTTCCCTTTCTATAATTAAAATCCCATTGTCTTGTCTCATGTCTAGTTTCTTCTCGCCTCTTTGTCTCCTTGTCTCCTCCAACACATCTTTAACTTCTTTTCATATCTCATTTTGTTTCTTTTCATCTTGTCTCCTCTTGTTTATTGTACTTTCACTTCTCTTGTCTCCTTTTCTCTTGTCTTGTCACTCCTCACATTTCTTTCCACTCTTCTAATAACTATTTTATTATTCTTTACAGAATTTCAAACGCGAGGAGCAGAATTTTGTGGTGATGAATGAGATCAACAACATGTCCTTCCTCACTGCTGACAGCAAAAGCAAGATGAGCATGGTGAGTTTGTCCACTTACTGCTGCTCACATCTGTGCAAAATTGACATTTGAGTTTAAACGTTAAATGTAAAAGTTGTGTATGTTCTCCATCATGTCAAAATGTTATTTAATAAGTGCTTTCTAGAATTTTTTTAATGAAATGAAAATGGTTAGATTTGTTAAAACTCCATTTCTTCAGACGACTGCTGACCTCTTGTCCTGTTCAGGACAGACACTGTGTTTCTACTCTCACAGTGGGATTATAGATCCATTGATGTTTTTCCTGTCTGTGAGGGTTTAAGTTTTAATAGAGCTGTCTCTGTCTGTGTCCTGTCTCGCTGTGGATTCGGGGTGTGTAGGCCGGAGACGGAGAGGTCAGAACGCGTTTCTGCACGATAAAAAAGAGCTGTGCTGATCGCATGGCGCACAAGCAGGGCTTTTCATCAAACTCCCACACACTGGCAAACACACATATACACAACAGCCAGAAGTCCATACCCTCATTCATTGCCAGTGTGTGTGAGGTTTGTTGGTACTTTGTTTGATGAAAGCCCTCAGCCATAGACTTTAGTCTCAGGATCATGGCACCCCTTTTCAGCTGGATCTTTAACTCTCGCTGGATCTGAGTTCCATCGTCCTGACAGTGATTTTGATTGATGTGCCTCTGATGGATTTTGACTGCTGCAAGTTCTTGCAGACTTGTCTGGTTCCTTTTCTTTTTTTAGTGCTGTTGTCCAGTTTGATGTTAATGTCTGATGTTACTGTTTTTTCCCCACAAGCTCTGGTGGTGATGCTCCCTCACTAGGAGCAAAAAAACTCATTATCAAAAATACATTGTCAAACCATTACCCATCACTTAATCTTCACAGATTTCAGGGAAATGTATGAGCACATTGGTAATGTAGGGAGGGAACATGAGTTTTCCTATAAAGGGAACAGTTCTCATTACATCTCTCATCTAATATTTCCCTCCCTTTGTTTAATTCACTGTATCCAATTTAATGGTACTCTCCGCTTCTTACATTTGATTAATGTGACTTTTGTGTCCATTCTGTTGACAAGTTATTAATTGACATGTTACCCAAACCCAACTCACTTGCTCACTTCCCTAAAAAGTTTGTCTCTGTTAGGTGTTAGCTAGCATAATGATACTATTCACTTTACAGGATACCACCTCCTCCTCTGTGCTGTGAGGCGGCCATTAGTGTAGCACCATCTGTTATCTCCTCTCCATGGGTGCCCCTCTCTGCCTCAGAATACATTAATTTAATCTCTTTTGGTCTCATCTCCCTACTGTTATCTGCTCTCATCTAGTCTAGTCTCTTCTTTTCTCATGTCTCTTCTCCTTGTTTTCCTCTCTTGGCTTGTCTCATCTGCTTTTATCTAGGGCTAAACGATTAATTGAAATAAAATTGAACATGGTTATCAAATGTGTTTATCAAATCGCAATGACTGTGATTTACTAAAATAAACAATATGCACTATGTTTTTCAGAGTAAAGCTTAGCACTGTGTTCATTTACACGCGAGCAGCTCATGAGCCAGTGTTTTTAGTATCTCCATCTCTGCATGTGCTGAGTTTGCATCTTTTATAATATGCATTTGAAAATGCAACACATACCAAAATGTTACCAGAATTTAAATGAGAAGCATTTATAATATAATAAAAGCTCAGTGGTTTAACATCTGAACATGAAGAAAATAAGACACAAATATTAGTGTTGGAATTTTACAGTACTGTAAAATAAAATTATTATATATTTTTTATCTCTACAGTGAATTGATTGTATTACAGTAATATTTCTTCTATATATTTTGTTATAGAACAATTATAAAGATGTTCGTAAGTATTATTTTATAGTTATATTGATATGGGAGTAAAGGGAGGATAAAGGGAGTGCTGTAGCTCTGACGTCAAAACTTTTAAGACTAATTTGCCACAGGTTTCTTGAGATTTTTAAAATGGGGCTTTTCAATTCATTAGTAAAATAAGGTCTGTGGTAAACATAAATTGACGGTAGTTTGCCATTTTGTTGTACAGTGTAAATTGTACAGTTCTTCTGTAGCTACTTATTAAACATATGAAGAGTTTATTTGCAAAAACAGACTACTCTGTTTTTTTATTTTCAAAAATCATGTTTTTTTATTATGTTATCATGTTTTTATTGTGTTAGTTAGCTGAATTTTTTGTTGTTGTTATTTTTATTTAATCAAAATAACCCAACAGTTTGATTGAGATTAATTGGAATGCACAATGAAAAAACATGATTTTTGATTTTTGGAGTTTTTGCCAATGAACTTTGCATATATATATATATTTATTTTTATTTATTTTTTTATTATTATTTTTTTATATATATATATTTTAAATAAACATAACTGCTTTAAAATTCACGTTTACAGTATGGGTGTGTGTAATTGACGTTGTAGAGCAAAACATCAACGTATCGCCAATTATGTTTACCACAGACCTTATTTCACTCATGAATTTTAAAACCCATTATAAAAACCCATAGACAAAAAAACTGAGGGAACCAGGGACAAATTAGTCTTCCTGGTCTTGACGTCATAGCTGCCGAACTCTATTTTGCAGCCCTACAAACAGGCACAGCAAACCTGGAGCTCTTTAAAAAAATATATTAAATTAAATTCCACCATTTTTATTAAATAAATAAATACCACAGTTTTTATCAGAAAAAAAAACACAATTAGATTTTTTCCCCCAAATATGCAGCCCTAGTCTCATCTCCCTTCTCCTCTTATCTTGTTTAGTCTCCTCTCTTCTCCTCTCATGTCTCGTCTTGTCTCTTCTCTTCTCATCTTCATTTTGCTTTTGTCTTGCATCTCATCTCATGCTGAAAGGCCAGAGGGAGCTCTTGCTGTAGAAGGCAACAGTCATTAATGACGTCTTACAGGCACAGACTCAGAGAGTGTGTGAGGGATGGAGCGGCCCCAAAGCCTAGTGTTGTTTTTAAGTGTGCAGTGCTAAAGGGTTGGCAACCTTACACCACTAACAATGAGACTGCTGTATGTTTAGCTCTAACATTTCCTAATAGACTGACTGATGATAAAACATGTCCTTGAAGCATGGTGTTATTTTCCGTCAGTGCTAGTTTGGTCAGTTCCCCCGTTTCCTTGTTAATCTATAAAACATAGAAAGTAGCCACCATTAACACATTATTTAACAATGTAAAAGCTGTAGCTAATCATCAACTATTCAGAAAGCAAGACACTTACAGAAGGGAGATGTTTACAGAGAATTGTTTCTGTATTCACATTATTCACTTAGAAAACATCCTTCTAAAGACTGTTTTTGTCAATAAAATCAGTCTTTCCTACAACAAATCCATATTCTTTTCCCAAAACAGCCTTTTTGTGACACAAACCTGTCTTTCTAGGTAAGAGCATCCTTGTGTCAGTCTAACTCTGCAGTTTTTATAGGGTGGAGGCTCAGATGTTGAGCGGGCCAAGAAGAAGCGCCGTGGGGACCGTTATTCCGTTCAGACTTCGCTGATTGTAGCGGCCCTGAAGAAACTGCTCCCCATCGGCCTCAACATGTGCTCCCCTGCAGACCAAGAGCTCATAAACATGGCCAAGATCCGCTACTCTCTGGTATTTAGTCACATGTTTAGCCATATAGTTTGTTTAGGATAGTTGATTTACTGCTAAACAACACAAAAAAAACTCTTATACTACTGTTCAAATGTTTGGGGTCAGTAAAATGTTTTCATGTTTTGAAACGATGCCGCAAGTCTGCATTTATCAAAAATACAATAAAACTGTAATATTGTGTAATATTATTACAATTTAACATAATTGTTTTCTATCTTAATATATTTGAAATAGTAATTTATTCCTGTGATGGTAAAGTTGAATTTTCAGCAGACATTGTAGTCTTCAGTGTCACAAGATCCTTCAGAAATCATTTTAATATGCTGATTTGGTGCTCAAAAAAATGTATTGTCAATGTTGAAAACAGTTGCTGCTTAATATACTTTATGGAAATCATATTTTTTTTTAAGGTCATTTGATGAATACAAATTTTAAAAGTACAGCATTTATTTGAAATATAATTTTTTTTGTACCATTATAAATGTCTTTATTGTCACTTTTGATCAATTTAATGCATCCTTGCTAAATAAAAAATGAATATAAAAAAAGTCTTACCCCAAACCTTTGAAAGATAGTGTACATTGAATTTTATTGACTCTTTGGTTGATTTGAATGTTACAGAAAGACACAGACGAAGAAGTGAGGGAGTTTCTGCAGAATAACCTGCATTTACAGGGAAAGGTAAGTACAGACGCAGCCAAGTGAAGAAAACATCTTAAGTATTAAAGGTGCGCAGTGAAGAATAAGAGCTGAAAAGGCGTGGACAGTTATTTGTGCGCCTGACCTTATTGAATATGCATTTCTAGGAGTTTCCCTTTCAGACTCAAAATTAAAATTAAAATGAATCACACAACGCGATTTACTAATATTTGCGGTTGTCAAATTACTAGTATTTGCACCATTATTTAACGCAAAAAATTTGCGCTGCTCTTGGTAGATTGCACTGGTCATTATGGAAATTATCTGTCTGTGTTCTTTAATGTGCGCATTGTCAGTAAATCACCCACAGAATTTTACCCTCCCATCGGCGCTTTTATGGAATTGCGCTCTAACGCTAATTTGCCCTGTTTAGTAAATCTGGCCCATAATATCTATTGTTTACTCAAACTACACAGATTCATTTTGGCCTTAATAGTATTGTAACAGAAAGTAGAATAAATGTCTGGGTTGTCATCTAGTAATCATGATAATTGCGACATGGTTGAACGCTGCATAAATATGTGTGTGTTGGTGGTGAAGGTTTTATGAAGGCTGACATAATTTTCTGGATTTAGATCAGGCCTGTATGTGATGACCTTGTGTGTCTCCAAAAGTGTGTCTCCATGTCTTTGTTTTGAATTGGAACAAGTCTTTTTCTCTGTACTCACCAAAGACTACAGTAAAAGCCTGCACAGACACACACAAACACATTCAGAGCATCGCATTACAGAAAGAGCATGCTTGACATATTTCCATCTAAAACAACAGGTAAAAAAAAACACATTGAATTAATTACAAAGATGATCAATACAGTATTAAGTCACACAAGTTGTAGGACATGGCCTGGCTCTCAGGGCGGGGTGGGAGTGGGTGGGGCTTCATGCTGGGGTTGGGACGCTTGGGTGCTTTTAGGGGTGGGTTCAGCTTAAAAATCAGCCCGCTTGATGCATTGTATGTACTTGTATAATCCTTTTTGTCAACAGGGTATCATCACCACCCAATTTCAAATGGGTCACTTCGATAAATGTTCAACTCTACAGAGAACAATTTCTTCCATTTATTGTGAGATATATTATTGTTGTGAATATGCCGTAACAATATGCTACATACAATGCAATATGCTAAGTAGTCTCTAAAACATTGAAAATTAAAAACAGTCTCAGACAAGAATTCACTATACAATAACTTCTAAAAAAGTAGTCAATACTGTAGTATACTCAAATGCTTTTAGTATTGGTTTTCACTAGTGCAGTTTTAACATAAAAATAAATATTTTATACCTACCGTTCAAAAGTTGGTAAATAAAAAAAATAAAATAATACTTTTATTATTATTATTGCTATTTTATTCATGTTAATTTATTTGAACATTTACAATGTTAAGAAGATTTGTACAGTATTTCAATCAAATTTATTTGTGCGCCTGACCTTATTGAATATGCATTTCTAGGAGTTTCCCTTTCAGACTCAAAATTAAAATTAAAATGAATCACACAACGCGATTTACTAATATTTGCGGTTGTCAAATTACTAGTATTTGCACCATTATTTAACGCAAAAAATTTGCGCTGCTCTTGGTAGATTGCACTGGTCATTATGGAAATTATCTGTCTGTGTTCTTTAATGTGCGCATTGTCAGTAAATCACCCACAGAATTTTACCCTCCCATCGGCGCTTTTATGGAATTGCGCTCTAACGCTAATTTGCCCTGTTTAGTAAATCTGGCCCATAATATCTATTGTTTACTCAAACTACACAGATTCATTTTGGCCTTAATAGTATTGTAACAGAAAGTAGAATAAATGTCTGGGTTGTCATCTAGTAATCATGATAATTGCGACATGGTTGAACGCTGCATAAATATGTGTGTGTTGGTGGTGAAGGTTTTATGAAGGCTGACATAATTTTCTGGATTTAGATCAGGCCTGTATGTGATGACCTTGTGTGTCTCCAAAAGTGTGTCTCCATGTCTTTGTTTTGAATTGGAACAAGTCTTTTTCTCTGTACTCACCAAAGACTACAGTAAAAGCCTGCACAGACACACACAAACACATTCAGAGCATCGCATTACAGAAAGAGCATGCTTGACATATTTCCATCTAAAACAACAGGTAAAAAAAAACACATTGAATTAATTACAAAGATGATCAATACAGTATTAAGTCACACAAGTTGTAGGACATGGCCTGGCTCTCAGGGCGGGGTGGGAGTGGGTGGGGCTTCATGCTGGGGTTGGGACGCTTGGGTGCTTTTAGGGGTGGGTTCAGCTTAAAAATCAGCCCGCTTGATGCATTGTATGTACTTGTATAATCCTTTTTGTCAACAGGGTATCATCACCACCCAATTTCAAATGGGTCACTTCGATAAATGTTCAACTCTACAGAGAACAATTTCTTCCATTTATTGTGAGATATATTATTGTTGTGAATATGCCGTAACAATATGCTACATACAATGCAATATGCTAAGTAGTCTCTAAAACATTGAAAATTAAAAACAGTCTCAGACAAGAATTCACTATACAATAACTTCTAAAAAAGTAGTCAATACTGTAGTATACTCAAATGCTTTTAGTATTGGTTTTCACTAGTGCAGTTTTAACATAAAAATAAATATTTTATACCTACCGTTCAAAAGTTGGTAAATAAAAAAAATAAAATAATACTTTTATTATTATTATTGCTATTTTATTCATGTTAATTTATTTGAACATTTACAATGTTAAGAAGATTTGTACAGTATTTCAATCAAATGCTGTTCTTTTGAACTTTCTATTCATCATAGAATCCTGAAAAAAAATCACAGTTTCCACAAAATATTGAGCAGCACAACATTACTTTTATTTATAAATTGAAAAATGCCTTTTTTTATGTCATACTTTGCTGCCATAAGCTGATTTAGCAGTCGTGGTGTGAGGGTTTGTAAGAAAGTACAGCACCCAGCTGTATGATGTCGTTAAAACAGAGGGAAGAGCCAGTAGTATCATACAAATGTGCCTCACTGTTCAGGGAGAGCAGGTCTGCTTGCTGTAGTCTAACGTTTGTGCCAGTCAGCAAACGTGAACGGCTCAAATAACGGACACATGACTAATAGCACTTGTGGTTTGGATTATAAAGAGTGTGTAAGATGTGTAGATGAATGAAGAAAACAAGCATAAGCACTAATTAAGAAGTAAAAACTGGTATAAAAATAGTCAGTTCACCACATTTTCATTAATAATTTTAATACAAGACATTTTCTCAGGTATTCAGGGAGAAACCAAAAATAGAAACTCAAAAATAGCTTTTTTAAACTTTACAAGATAGAACTTTTTAAAACTTTACTAGATTAAATTGTAATCATCCTTCTTGTCAAATATAACTTGTATAAAATATCTATAACTAATTTATATTAAAAAAATAGTGTAATGCTTAGTGTATGAGTGTGTGTGTGTGTGTGTGTGTATGTTGGATGGTCTTGGGGAAGGGGTATTTAAAGCCCGGCATCATTATGACTGGACCGGTTTGTTTTCATCTAATAGGAGAAGGAAATGGAAAAGCAGAGGCTTCTGTACCAGCAGTCCCGTCTACATGACCGCGTAGCGGCTGAAATGGTTCTGCAGATGATCGGTGCTTGCAAAGGTACACGCACAATCACTTACAACACATGTATTTGGACTATGACAAAAACAAAAAGTAAATGCCAAGTTCTTTCATGAAACTCTAGATGGTGCAGATGAGTCGTTAACGCAAATTGATGATATTCACAGCATTCTCGGTTAAGTATGTAACCCTCGTTCCCTGAAGGAGGGAACGTAGATGTCACGTAGGCCTCCGTAACTGACAAAGAGCTGATCTGAGGTCCTGAAGCTTTGTGTCCGGTCTACGTACCATCTCAAGGCTCGGACGGCACAAAGCAAAGCTAGGGCTGGGTCTGCCTCCTCCGGGGGCAGCGCTTGCAGGCTCACCAACTGATCCCTGAAGGGAGTAGTGGGAACTTTGGGCACATAGCCGGGCCAGGGCCTCAGGATTACCTGGAAGTTAGCCGGCCCAAACTCTAGGCACGATTCGTCGACCAAAAATGCGTGCAGGTCCCCTACCCTCTTGATGGAGGCCAATGCAAGCAGGAGCAGATTTCTATTCATTGATAGAAACTTCAGATCAACTGACTGCTAAGGCTCAAATGGGCCCTGCTGTAGTGCTTTGAGCACTAGAGGCAGGTCCCAAGAGGGTATAGAGGGGGGCGGGGAGGATTTAACCTTCTCGCCCCCTAAGAAATCTGATGACCAGGTCATGCTTCCCTACCGACTTCCCTTCCACGGGGTCGTGGTTAGCAGCAAACGCACAACATAGACTTTAAGGGTGGAGGGAGACAGCCTTCACTCCAACCCGTGCTGCAAAAAGGACAGCACGACTCTGATCGGACTTCTTCGGGGGTCTTCTCAGTGAGAAGAACACCACTCGACGAACAGGTTCCACTTCAAGGCGTAAGCGTGTCTCGAAGATGGAGCTTTCACCGAAGTGATGGTGTCAACTACCACCTGGGGTAGGTCACCTAGAACCTCCGCGTCCCATCCAGGGACCTGACATGAAGTTTCCAGAGGTCTGGACGTGGGTGCGTCTCTGAGTCAGTAGATCTTTCCTCAGAGGAATCTGCCAGGGAGGGGCTGTCACGAGGAGCATTAGTTCTGGGAACCAGGTCCGAGTGGACCAGTAAGGCGCCACAAGCAGGACCTACTCCTCGTCCTCCCTAATCTTGCTCAGCGTCTGTGCGAGAAGGCTCACTGGGGGAAGCGCATACTTTCGCCGGCCCCGCGGCCAGCTGTGTGCCAGTGCGTCCATGCCGAGTGTTCCCTTGGTCAGGGAGTAAAACAACTGGCAGTGAGAGGTCTCTGGAGAGGCAAACAGGTCTACCTAAGGGGCTCCAAATCAGCTGGACCGTCTGGGGATGAGTCTCAATTCTCCGGGGAGCGCAGCTCGTGACAGCTCATCAGCTGCACGGTTGTGCACACCCGGAATGTTAATGGCACAAAGCGACCTCAGATGCTTCTGACTCCAGAGGAGGAGGTGGTGGGTGAGTTGCGTCATGCGACGGGAGCATAGACCACCTAGTCGGTTGATGTACGCAACAGTTGCAGTGTTGTCCGCGCGGACCAGCACATGCTTGCCTCGTAAGCGCCCTCTGAGACGGTTCAAGGCAAGGCGTACTGCTAACAGCTCTAAGCAGTTGATGTGCCAGTGCAGTTGGGTGCCCGTCCAAACCCCCAACACTGCATGCACGCCGTATGTGGCCCCCCAGCCGGTGGTAGATGCATCCGTGTAAACCACAGCATGCCTGGAGACTTGTTTTAGGGGCACTTCTGCCCAGAGAAACGCAAGGTCTAACCACAGGGTGAAGGTTTGGCGGCAGGCCGGTGCGACTAGGACCCGGTGCTGCATTTCCACGCCCACCTCGGGACTCGGCCATAAAGCTAGTGTTGAAGTGGTCTCATATGAAGCAGCCCCAGTGGTGTAACTGCCGCTGCCATATGCCCCAGGAGCCTCTGAAACTGTTTCAGTGGGACCGCCGTCCTGCTCTTGAACATATTCAGGCAGTTCAACACTGACTGAGCACGTTCCTGCGTGAGGCGTGCTGTCTGTTCGACCAAATCCAACTCCATACCGAGAAAAGAGATCCTCTGCGTCGGGGCTGAGGTGCGAAAGCACCAATTCCCTGTGTTCGCACAAATTATCCTGAGACTGAGCTAGTATGAGGCAGTCGTCGAGGTAGTTGACTTTTGTGAAGACACGGGGTGACAGGGATAGCCCGAAGGGCAGGACCTTGTACTGATATGCTCGTCCTTCGAACGCGAACCGCAGGAATGGCCTGTGGCACGAAAGGATCGAAACAAGAAAGTATGCATCCTTCAGGTCGATTGCTGCAAACTCATCTTGGGGATGGATGCACCCCGAAGATGCGCTTCTGCGTGAGCATCTTGAACAGTAGCTTGTGAAGGGCCCAATTCAAGACACGCAGATCCTAGATTGCTCCTAACCCACCGCCTTTCCTGGGTACAATGAAGTAAGAGATGGCGCTCCTGGACCACCATAGTTGACATCATATGGCCCAGAGACCGCGCAGTGACCTTCGTTGCATGTGGCACGAGGTCAGTAGTTCTCGGAGTTCTCTGAGAACTTCTGTGTCGTGACCACCCTCGTGCAGGTCCTTCAGTGCCTTGGCCTGATGAATGTGCAATAACAGCATGGCTTGTAAGGTGGAGGCATCTTCCCCGCAGGCCGCATAAGCACTGCCGATCAGAGCTGACGTGAACCTACAGGCCCGGGAGGGAAGTGACGGCTTGCTCCGCCAGGTGGCAGTGGTATTTGGACACAATTGCATCGCTACCGACCGCTCCACCGGAGGGACTTCCCTATATCCCCGCGCTGCCCCACCATCGAGGCTGGTGAGGGAGGATGAGCCACCACGGCGGTTTCTGGCAGTGAAAGGTGCCGTCCACAACCCAGTGAGCTCATCATGCACCTCCAGAAAAAAAGGCACCGGGGTGGGGCCCTGAGAACCAGCGTGAGCCACCCCGAGAAACCAATCGTCCAGCCTCGAGGGTTCGGGATGTGGTGGAGGCTTCCAATTGAGCCCAACCCTCTCGGCGGCCCCAGGCAAGCATAGCCACCATTTCCGGATCTGCTTGATCATCATCTCCCGAAAGGTCTGGCTCACCCTCCGATGCAGCGGTCGACATCCGATCTTCGGGGGGGAGCACCGAAGGATAGGAGTGGTACCCCACGAGAGGGTCCAGCCCGTGCCTTGGGCAGCTCCACTGGCTGCAGAGTGCCAGTGGAAGGAGTAGCCCTCAGAGGTTGGTTCCTCGGAGGGGAATTCATCACTGTCATTGTAAGACCAGCCAGGTGACTGCCAGAAGTAGGGCCCCCCCCCCCCCCCCCCCCCCCCC